TTTACAGGAAACTCCACTTCCAATCACTGTTCATACCTTTTGTTGTCATGTATCCTGCTTTCCTGCACACCTGGGAGAGACAATGGGCAGCTGATGCTATAAAATGCCCTGTCTCTGCCTCTGGACTCAGAAGTCACTTTCTATCCACCATGCCGTACGGCAGGATTCACAGTGCAGTTCACTTGAGGAATAATGGACTTAAGCAATCCACTTTGTGTAAGATGGCCTCTGTTGGTGTTTGGCCCACTTCTTCAGTTGTTAAATATCTGGAGAAAGATGAAAAACAGATGAAAATGAGAGTAAATCACAAAAAGACAGTTGCATTTAAGTTAAGAGCTAGATGGAGAATCCTTAGCCGTTACAGAAGATATGACAGATCTAAAGCATTGAAAAGTAATAATGACTACAGAAGATGCATATCTATGCCAAAACTTGCATTTCCTGATCATAGCTATTCAAAGAGAGCATGTAATTAAAAGAAAATGTATGATTTCAAGATACTACTCTGTAATAAACTGGTTGTGAATATGAAAAAAGTTTGTTGGTCTTTCTTCTAGTCTTAAAACTTATAAATATAATTGAGAAATCTATAAATTAAGTAAATGTAAATTTAATAATAATAATAATAATAATAATAACAATAATATTAATAATGTACACAATTTGGCCCCTGTCCGTGTCTGAGGCACCTGCCCACATTACGACAATGTAATCTGTTATTGTTGATTCCGTGAGGCTCTGCTGTGAGATGATCGGGGTTACAGCACAGAGTGACTCCACACAGGTGGAATGTGTAAAATCCTCTTCTTAAGCATAAATGCCACCCTGTGCACTCCAACAGTAACAGAGTGTCTAGCCCCAGGAAATGTAACCCTCCATAAACAATAACGGACCCCACTGGAACAACTGGTGCCCCCAGTCCACAGCCAACAGTATCCCTCCGGTGTGTTATGCAGTTTTGCATGTAATTTCGCCAGATATACATCCCAGAACTGGTCATTAGCCATTTTTTGTGTGAAATGATGCAAGAGCACCCTTTTATGGCCTGTGCTGCTCTAAATTTAGAAACTAAGCCAAAAGTGAACAGTTGTCACTTTTCCTGTTCAGGGGAGAAACCACCAAAATATTTCCCATTGACGACCATACTAAGAAATGCCTGCAAAACTGCATGAATTAAATTATTCTGTGAAACATTTCTCACCCCCATGGACAGCAGACACACTGACATAACTCCCAATGGCAAAAAAATGTACTGTCATTCAACAATATTTCTTACCGGCATCACTTGAACATGTGCACCCCTCTGTTTGTAAACAAACCACTGCACCACTCACAGTCAGTAGCCCCTTCTGCCAGAGGTCTCACGACTGCACCGCACCTGTGCCTGGTCCTGAAAAAAAAACTGGCAGTAGTTTACACCCTAGTCTGCTAGTTGATACCAAAATTAACCCATTTGACTGAGGATAGTGAGGACTCGCGGTATCCTGGTTTATTCCCCATTCTCTTGCAAAGTTTTTAAAGTCATGACTCCCAAATGGCATATTGTCAGAGACAATTGTCTCAGGAATTCCATGTCTAGCAAATAAAGACTTTAAGTGTAGTATCACGGTCTTGGCCGTTTTGTCCTCTAAGTAAGAAATCTCTGGGTATTTGGAATAAAATCTACCACAACCAGGTAGTCTTTACCCTTCATAGTCATAATGTCTGCTCCAACTTTCTCCCATGGCCTGTGTGGTATTGCGTGCGGAATCAAGGGCTCCTTTACGTTGCTTGGACGAAATTTACTGCACACCGAGCACTGGGCAACTATCAATTCTATGTCCGCTGACATTCCTGGCCAGTATAGTGAAGATCTCGCCCTTGCTTTGCATTTGTCAGCACCCAAGTGGCTTTCATGAATTAGAGACAACATGTCTGATCGTAACTTGGCGGGAATTACGATGCACTCTCCCAGAAGAACGAGGCCTTCTGCTATGTGTAACTCATCCCTTACGTCCCAGTAAGGCTGGAAATTCACTGGCAGCTCAGACTTCCTGTCAGGCCAACCGCGTTTTATAACTGACTGAAGTCTTAGTAACATCCCAGATAGCAAAGAGTGGTCGCGCCAACGTCGGCCCGACGACTTTGCCTCCGTCGGGCCAACGTTGGCAGACGACGTCGGTTCGAAGTCGGCGTGTCCGGCGGCCCGCCGTCGGCCCACCAGTGGTCTGCCACCCTTTTGCCAACGTCGCACCGACGCTGGGCCGACGTCATTATGGATAAACGGCGGTCAGCCGCTGTCATGCCGACAATTTGCCAACTTCGCGCCAACGTCGGGCCAACGTCGTTATGAGCTATTACTATCGGCGGTTAGCCGCTGTTATGCCGACCTTTTGCCGACGTNAGGAAAAAAATGGAAAAAAGCACTCATTTTTTCTCACTGAACTATATTCGTCTATAACAGGTGCTGATTGGTTGATTTGGAGGTTTCTGCCCTTCACACAAACCACCCCCCCCTGTTCTTACCTTCTGACACCAAAAATTAAAACCTTAATACACTGCCAACTGCTCCGCCCAATATGACTGAGAACGGTCTCTTGATGACTGAGCCCTGTCAAGTTGAAAATGTGGTTGCTGTATCGGCCACTCTAGCCAACATTGCACCTGGTGAGAAAGCATAATTTCATGAGTGATAAAAAGTTAAATGTACATTTCTGTGCCTGAATTTGTTTCAATTGTTTTGAAATTTGGACACCTTATGCTGGACAGGTGTGAAAATCTGAGATAAGCATCTTAACTGGTTGGGCCTAGTTTAAGTGCACTTTGTTGAGAAATAAAATGTGAAAAGTGGAAAATTACTAATAAAAATATTTTAAAATATCTAAAAATTACTTAAACTCAAGTGCAAGGTTAATTGTCACAACTGTTGTTTATGTTTGTTTGTGTTTGTTGTGAGGATACAGGAAATGAGCTTCTTGTCCCTCCCTGCAGAACAATACTCACTGCTAAGCTGTATACCCCCCTCCTGCACTGGGGCCATGCAGTTTGCTGTTTACAGGAAACCCCACTACCAATCACTGTTCATACCTTTTGTTGTAATGTATCCTGCTTTCCTGCACACCTGGGAGAGACAATGGGCAGCTGATGCTATAAAATGCCCTGTCTCTGCCTCTGGACTCAGAAGTCACTTTCTATCCACCATGCCGTACGGTAAAGGTAGCTGGAAAAAACGAAGAAAAAGTGTATTTGTGAAGGGACACAAGCTATACCATGCAAGACAGAAGTCTGACCAGCCTCCAGAGCCTATTGTGAGAAGATACATCAGACCCAGCCAAGAGTTGTACCAGGCAGCCTCCTCTCCACCCCCTGTCGGGCTGCCAGCAACCCTCAGCAGCAACCCTGATGCACCCGTCATCCTCAGACCTAGGAGGGCCCAGTCAGAGAGTTTGTCCAGCAGCCAGCCCCAACCCCCAGATGATGAATACAAGTTGGTTTCACCAGAAAAAATTGTCAATCTGGTCAACAAAGTCTTGTCAGAGCATACAGCTGAGTGCACTGGCTCAATGGTTTGGGACAGAGAGGCAGAAAGCAAGTGGGGAGTGGCTTGGTCAATGGGACTAAAATGTGACACGTGTCAGTACAGGACAGGGAAACAGAAATTGTACAATGAAGTCGAGAGCAAGCAGCGTGGCAGGAGAGCAGCAACGGTGAATGCAGGCTTGCAAGTAGGCCTGTCACAAAACATGATCTCCAACACGGCCATGAGGCAGATTCTAATGGCGACCAATGTGACCCCGCCCAGTGCATCATCCATGCAAAAGCAAGCAAATAAAGTCGGTGCTGCTATAACCAAGCTTAACAAAGCTGACATGCAACAGCGCCGTGAGAATCTACGCCGCATTCAAGATCTGAGAGGGTGTGAAGGACAGCCCATAGCAGTGGAAGGAGATGGCAGATATAATAATAGTCTGTTTAGTGGAGGGAACAAAACACCATACCAGCCAGCCACTCAGACTGTATACACCGTTGCAGAAAATGTAACCAGCAAAAAAGACATCATTGGTGTTTACACCGGAAACAAGTTATGCCACACAGCTCACCTGCTTAAAAGTAGAGGGGAAGATGTATCCTGTCCAGAGCACAGTGGTATCTGCACGGCGAATCTACGGGAAGACGACAGTATTGGAGACGAGAAACGTGCCATGCAGCAGATCCTCGAGGAAATTTCTGGAGAGGTCACAGTTGGTGCCTTGACCACTGATGGTGATAGCCGAGCCCACTCTGCATGTGATGATGTCGAAAGTCTTCGGGACACGCGCCACTTCAGTAAAGCTCTGAAAAAGCAAATTGAAAAAGCACCATTTTCCGGTCAAGTTTTCCCAGGGAAAACAAAGTACTCCAGAGACAAGATGCAGAAACGCTTTGCTCAGTGCATAGCAATGCGCTGTTATGCTGAATTCGATGCCTGCTATAAAGCAAATAAAGGGGACATAGAATTGATTAAAAGAGCACTGAGTTATGTCACTGACTCTATAATTAGTTGTTACAACGGTGATTGTGAAAACTGCTTAAAGNCCGCATTCAAGATCTGAGAGGGTGTGAAGGACAGCCCATAGCAGTGGAAGGAGATGGCAGATATAATAATAGTCTTTTCAGTGGAGGGAACAAAACACCATACCAGCCAGCCACTCAGACTGTATACACTGTTGCGGAAAATGTAACCAGCAAAAAAGACATCATTGGTGTTTACACCGGAAACAAGTTATGCCACAAAGCTCACCTGCTGAGAAGTAGAGGGGAAGATGTATCCTGTCCAGAGCACAGTGGTATCTGCACGGCCAATCTGCGAGAAGACGACAGCATTGGAGATGAGAAACGTGCCATGCAGCAGATTCTTGAGGAAATTTCTGGAGAGGTCACAGTTGGTGCCTTAACCACTGATGGGGATAGCCAAGCCCACTCTGTATGTGATGATGTCGAAAGTCTTCGGGACACGCGCCACTTCACTTAAGCTCTGAAAAAGCAAATTGAAAAAGCACCATTTTCCGGTCAAGTTTTTCCAGGGAAAACTAAGTACTCAAGAGACAAAATGCAAAAACGCTTTGCTCAGTGCATAGCAATGCGCTGCTATGCTGAATTTGATGCCTGCTTTAAAGCAAATAAAGGTGACATAGAATTGATTAAAAGAGCACTGAGCTATGTCACTGACTCTATAATTAGTTGTTACACTGGTGATTGTGAAAATTGTTTGAAGTATTCTTATGTATGCAAAGGTGGCTCGGAAACTATTTTCCCTGAGAAAGGCAAACTAGACTTTAGCAACTCTGAAGATATGCACATCTTAAGACAGTGCCTAAATTATAGACTGGGCCCAAGGGCCATTGAATCAACAAAACTTAATACCAACACACAAAAAGTGGAGTCTTTAAACAGGATATTTCAGAAAACTAATAATAAAGTTGTCACCTTTTCGCGGAACTTCGAAGGCAGGATTCACAGTGCAGTTCACTTGAGGAATAATTGACTTAAGCAATCCACTTTGAGTAAAATGGCCTCTGTTGGTGTTAGGCCCACTTCTTCAGTTGTTAAATATCTAGAGAAAGATGAAAAACAGATGAAAATGAGAATAAATCACAAAAAGACAGTTGCATTTAAGTTAAGAGCTAGATGGAGAATCCTTAGCCGTTACAGAAGATATGACAGATCTAAAGCATTGAAAAGTAATAATGACTACAGAAGATGCATATCTATGCCAAAACTTGTATTTCCTGATCACAGCTATTCAAAGAGAGCAAGCAATTAAAAGAAAATGTATAATTTCAAGATACTACTCTGCAATAAACTGGTTGTGAAATATAAAAAAAGTTTGTTGGTCTTTCTTCTAGTCTTAAAACTTAGAAATATAATTGAGAAATCTATAAACTAAGTAAATGTAAATTTAATCCCTCTCGGAATTATCATTATAATAATAACAATAATATTAATAATTATCATATACACAATTTGGCCCCTGTCCGTGTCCGAGGCACCTGCCCACAGTATGACAATGTAATCTGTTATTGTTGATTCCGTGAGGCTCTGCTGTGACTCCACACAGGTGAGATACATGTACTTCTGTCCCTCTCGGAATGAGTAAAACCCTCTCCTTAAGCATAAATACCACCCTGTGCACTCCAACAGTAACAGAGTGTCTGGCCCCAGCAAAAGTAACCCTCATCTTCCCATAACGGACCCCACTGGAACAACTGGTGCCCCCAGTCCAAAGCCAACACTATCCCTCCTGTGTGTTATGCAATTTTGCATGTTATTTCTCTCTCAATTCTTCAAATAATTGCTGATTAGCCATTTTTGTCTGTGAAATGATGCAAGACCACCCTTTTATATCCTGTGCTGCTCTAAATTTAGAAACTGAGCCAAAAGTGAACAGTTGTCACTTTTCCTGTTCAGGGCAGAAACCACCAAATAATTTCCCATTGACGACCATACTAAGAAATGCCTTCAATACTGCATGAACAAAATTACTCTGTGAAACATTTCCCATCCCCATGGACAGTAGACACACTGACATAACTCCCAATGGCAAAAAAATATACTGTCATATCAGACTTTCTTGCTTACCGGCATCATTTGAACATTTGCACCCCTCTGTTTGTAAACAAACCACTGCACCACTCACAGTCAGTAGCCCCCTCCGCCAGAGGTCTCACGACTGCACCGCACCTGAGCCTGGTCCTGAAAAAAAAACTGGCAGTAGTATACACCCTAGCCTGCTAGTTGATACCAAAATTAACCCTAGCAACACACAAGAAATGCCAGGAAAAAAAATGGAAAAAAGCACTAATTTTCTCTCACTGAACTACATTCGTCTATAACAGGCGCTGATAGGCTGATTTAGTGGTTTCTGCCCTTCACACAAACCCCCCCCCCTGTTCTTACCTTCTGACACCAAAAATTAAAACCTTAATGCACTGCCAACTGCTCCGCCCAATATGACTGAGAACGGTCTCTTGATGACTGAGCCCTGTCAAGTTGAAAATGTGGTTGCTGTATGGGCCACTTTAGCCAATATTGCACCTGGTGAGAAAGCAAAATTTCATGAGTGATAAAAAGTTAAATGCAAATTTCTGTGCTTGAATTTGTTTCAATTGTTTTGAAATTTTGACACCTGATACTGGACATGTGAGAAAATTTGAGATAAGCATCTTAACCAGTTGAGACTGGTTTAAGTGCACTTTGCTGAGAAATAAAGTGTAAGAAGTGGAAAATTACTAATAAAAAGATTTTAAAATATTTAAAAATTACTTAAACTCAAGTGCAAGGTTAATTGTCACAACTGTTGTTTATGTTTGTTTGTGTGTCTTGTGAGGAAACAGGAAATCATGTTTCCTGTCCCTCCCTGCAGAACAATACTCACTTGCTAAGCTGGGTACCCCCCTCCTGCACTGGGGCCATGCAGTTTGCTGTTTACAGGAAACTCCACTTCCAATCATTGTTCATACCTTTTGTTGTCATGTATCCTGCTTTCCTGCACACCTGGGAGAGACAATGGGCAGCTGATGCTATAAAATGCCCTGTCTCTGCCTCTGGACTCAGAAGTCACTTTCCATCCACCATGCCGTACGGTAAAGGTAGCTGGAAAAAACGAAGAAAAAGTGTATTTGTGAAGGGAAACAAGTTTTCCACTGGACGTCAGCAGTCTGACCAGCCTCCAGAGCCTATTGTGAGAAGATACATCAGACCCAGCCAAGAATTGTACCAGGCAGCCTCCTCTCCACCCCCTGTCGGGCCACCCACAACCCTCAACAGCAACCCTGATGCACCCGTCATACTCAGACCTAGGAGGGCCCAGTCAGAGAGTGTGTCCAGTAGCCAGCCCCAACCCCCAGATGATGAATACAAGTTGGTTTCACCAGAAAAACTTGTCAATCTGGTCAACAAAGTCTTGTCAGAGCATACAGCTGAGTGCACTGGCTCAATGGTTCGGGACAGAGAGGCAGAGAGCAAGTGGGGAGTGGCTTGGTCAATGGGACTAAAATGTGACACATGTCAGTACAGGACAGGGAAACAGAAATTGTACAATGAAGTCGAGAGCAAGCAGCGTAGCAGGAGAGCAGCAACTGTGAATGCAGGCTTGCAAGTAGGCCTGTCACAAAACATGATCTCCAACACGGCCATGAGGCAGATTGTAATGGCGACCAATGTGACCCCGCCCAGTGCATCATCCATGCAAAAGCAAGCAAATAAAGTCGGTGCTGCCATAACCAAGCTAAAGAAAGCTGACATGCAACAGCGCCGTGAGAATCTACGCCGCATTCAAGATCTGAGAGGGTGTGAAGGACAGCCCATAGCAGTGGAAGGAGATGGCAGATATAGTAAAGGAAGTTCCAGTTAGATGGACGATTAAGATAGGCCTTGTTAAAGTTATATGTATTGTTTACCTCAGTTCAATAAAAGTATGCATGCCGGGAGGGGGGGGGGGGGAGTCAGAACAATTGTGCCTATCCAATTGATACAGAGGATTTGTACATACTGGGTACTAGTACAGGTGACTTTAATAAGCAGAGGATTTTCTTTTATATTCCGTGAAAAATACACTAAATTTATATAAAATAATATCATGGTTGGCCAAAAATTGTACGCACAGTGCATCCGTGCGTATGCCTAGTTACGCCCATGCACACACTCACACACAGACAGGCAAGAAACACATCAAGATTGAACACACACACTTACTCTTTCTCTCTTTCACACACACACACATACACACACGAAACACACCAAGACATCATTGAGTTTTAGGCTTCGTTCACATGCAATGTCTATTTTCTAATTTCTGTTTTCTATTTGCGCTATCTTATGATCACGGTCTGTGGCCTGAATATCCCGCCGCGTAATTACTGGCAGTGCGAGCCAGTTACTTATAGTAACTTATAGTAACTGGCTCGCGCTGCCAGTAATTACGCCGCGGGATATTCAGGCCACAGACCGTGATCATAAGACATACCGCAAATAGAAAATAGAATTTAGAAAATAGACATTGCATGTGAACGAAGCCTTAATGAAGACTTCAGCTTCACTGTAAGGTGCTGCCGCCAAGTGGATAAAGCAAGCACTACATTGTAAAATGCAGCAATATGGGAAGAGCATCCCCAAGCAGTAAAGTATCATATCTTGAAATAGAAAATATGTAACAAACCAAAGAAAAATGAACAAATTGATTTCTATAGTTCATTCAAAATAATTGTTAACACAATAGCACAGGATTCAAACGACTGCGCATGCACGAAAACTGCACTGTTTGAAATGAACAAGTTGTTGAAATTGACAAAGCCTCCCAGTGTTTACCCGCTGGTTGATTTAATTAAATTTGCCCTATGGTGTTCTTTTGAAAATTTATATTAGAAACATTCTATTGATTTTATGTTTTAAAAAGTAAATTCATTGGAATTTCCTTAGAATAACAGGGATCCTTATTCCTGAGTCAAAATCTCATAGGGCCACTTTGGCCCACTTGGTCAAAACAATTGGGCCATTTTTAAAAAATGTTTAACAAAGTGATCAAAATTATTATTTTATAATAAACACATACAGTGACAATAAAGACATAGACAGTGATCAGAATACATATAGACACATTCAATGTCTCAACAGACAATGCAAAGGTATCAAGATTTATACATGAAATTTTGTTTATATCAAGATTTTTGCCAAGCGAACCCTCGCCCCCCAACTCCAAACAGTTAACATTAACCCTTGTCACCTTGAACATATCAAAATCTGATTTGGATCTCAATGGCCCATTTACAATTGATTATTTCCCAGCTACAACATATAGTAGCGATGGTCAGAAAGGGATTGAATAGAATCAGCAGTAGGGCAATATTGTTGTTGCACTGACCTTTGCTGACACTGTGTGGTTGTAGAACGAGATGGTGAACAGATGAATTCAACTGTCCTCAGTGTGATGATAATCCAGGAAACACCTTCATTTCTACTGAAAACAGATAATAAATCATCAATAAAATATATATATATATATATATATATATATATATATATATATATATCCTGGTTTGGATGGCTATATGGTAGAATTTTATAAATTCTTTTGGACTGATCTCAAGGAGCCTCTGCTTAGGTCACTGAATAAATCCTTTGAAGTACAGTCAATGTCTACATCTCAACGCCAAGGTATAATCAAGTGTATACCAAAGGAGGGGAAGGAGAAAGTATTCCTTAAGAATTGGCGTCCAATTACTTTGCTGAATGTCGATTACAAACTTGCTTCTGCTTGCATAGCAGCCAGAATCCAATTACACATTGACGATATCATCTCTTTTACACAGGCTAGATTTGTTAAAGGTCGCTATATAGGCGAATGTTCCAGAACTATTCAAGATATCATCCATAAAACAGAAAAAGATGACATTTCAGGAATTTTATTAATGCTAGATTTCGAAAAAGCTTTTGATTCTGTAGAGTGGGCATATATTTTGCAGTGTCTTAAATTTTTTTTAATTTTAGTGAAGATATTCAAAACTGGTTCAAAACCCTTTACTCTAATATTTCCACTGCAGTGGAAAATAATGGACATCTAACAGAATTCTTTAATGTCACTCGGGGCGTTAGACAGGGTGACCCTCTGTCCCCTTACATATTTATTATCTGCATAGAATTGCTCAGCGCGGCGGTCAAATTTGATCCAAACATAAAAGGGATCTTACTGCATAACTTAGAATACGTCATTACACAATACGCAGATGACTCCACGCTCCATCTAGCAGATGATAGAGAGTCATTGAATGCAGCTCTGGATATGCTAGAATTGTTCTCTCAATGTTCAGGATTGAAAATAAATTTTGAAAAAAGCCAGGCTGTTTGGATTGGAGCAAAGCGCTGCTGTGGTGAGGAGTATCAAACCTCTAAAAGTATATATTTTGGAATCATAGTGGGAAATTTAAACTACTGGGTATTTGGTATAACCTAGCAAAGGATGACATTTATGAAGAGAATTTTAGAGAAAAATTACATTCCATCAAATCGTTGTTAAATGATTGGTCGTTCCGTCATATTTCACTCCTAGGTAAAGTAACTATTTTAAAATCCTTGGCACTCCCTACTATCATCCAAATATTAACTGTCCTTCCTATGCCTGCTGATCATTTCTTTAAAGAATTGGAGCGAGTTTTTTTATCACTTTATCTGGAACAGTAAAATAGATAAAGTTAAGAGAAATGTTATGATTAATTCTTATGAAAACGGTGGATTAAAGGTCCCCGAGGTGAAATCCTTCTGTAAAGCTCTTAAATTGATATGGCTAAAGAAATTGGTAAATCCACATAATTGTTCTTCGTGGAAAACTCTTTTAATGGATGAGATTGCGGAAATCGGGGGAATTGACGTATTGCTACTTCCATTGAAGGGCCTACAGTCTATACGTAATATTAATATACTAAATACTTCCTGGAAAGAGATTTTGGTAATATGGGCTTCTGTTCAAGAATTTTCTACTACTTCTCCGGATGATATCCTAGCACAACCTTTATGGGGAAATGATCATATTAAGATCAATAAAAAGATAATCTTCTATAAACCATGGTTTCGAAAAGGTGTGCTTTACGTTAATGACCTGATTGATAATACTGGTTCAGTAAAAAGTCTAGACGTTTTTTGTGATGAATATAATATAGATTGTAATTTCCTTGACTATCAAGGCGTCATCAGCGCTTTACCTTCTGCCTGGAAAACTATTATAAGAGGGTATCAAAAGAACCTTGCAGCAATAACAAATAAAAATCTCGTATTATTAAAATCGAAAAACAAATTAATGAAACTTTTTTACCCGAAATTTATTTCAGATAAGGAAGCAATGCCTTTTAACATCCATGATAAGTGGAGGGAAAAGCTGAACATTGATTTTCCAAGTGAAAAGTGGAAGCTAGTTCATGCATTGCCCTTTCGAGAAACAAATGATCATAAACTTCTCACATTGCAATTTAGAATTTTACATAGAATTTATTTTACGAATTCGATGCTTTTTAAATATAATATGTTAGAACATGAGCGATGCACTTTCTGTAATGACCCAAAAGAAACTTTATTGCATATTTTCTGGGACTGTACATATGTTCAGGCTATTTGGACTTGTCTCATTCAGAACCTACGCACACAGTACTCTGTTGAATTGCAACAACAACCGTGCGTGTTTATATTTGGAATCCTGGACGACAGCCCTCTCTTAGGTATTAATCTACTACTTCTCTATATAAAGAAATATTTCACTCTATGTAGACAGAATAAAATTACACCTCTTTGGAATGCCTGCAAAAAGTATTTGGAAAAGCAAAAGAAAATAGATTTTCAATCTTTATACCTACTGGGTCCTCAAAAGGCAGATAATCTAAGAAAAAAATGGGACAGTATAGAAAAAATATTGATATGAATAGAAAAGAACATTTATCGTAGCCTAGGCCTACTAAGATTCTTTTATTAAAAAAAATTCTAC